CTGCTGCGCGCACCACGGGCTCGGCCTGGGTTTTTCAAATATAGTCCAGATCATACTTCTTCCCTGCTCAAACACTCTCCATAGCTCCCCATGGCTCTAACAATAAAACTGCACTCTTCCCTGCAGCCCACAAGGCCTGCGTGATCGGCCCTGCTAGCTTCTTCCTCTCAGTCCTGCCTCAGGGCCTTTGCACAAGCTGTGCCATCTGCCTGAGACACTCTTTCTCCATGACCAGTTCCTCTTCCTTAATGCCTTGGCTGGCTGCAGGGTCACCTCCTCTGAGAAGCTGCCCTTTGCCAGTTTACCCCCTGTCTTTTCCTTTCTCAACTTAGGTGTTTGAAATTATTTTGCTCTTTTAATTGTTTACTATTTACTCTCTGTCCCCTCTAACCAAACTGGGGATCCCTGAGGGCAGGGATTTTGTGTGGCCTGGTCCCCACTGGGTCCCCAGAGTTCAGCACAGGGGCAGGCTCACAGTAGGTGCTCAAAAAATGTTTGTTGAGTAAATAAATGGCCAGATATGTGTCTGAGGAACTTGGCGAGCATTCCTGGGGAGACGCCCATCTAACAGGATGGGGGAACCTGGGGGTGGCGCTGGACATGGAGGGGACATGATGGGGAGTCAGAGACTTAAGAGGGATGCACAGGGTTAGGGTAACACGCCATCTGTGCCTCAGTCTCCTCCACTGTCTCCTTTTCTCAGATACGAGATCTGGGCTCCAGCCTCAGGTCAGGACTGGTCCCAAAGTGCCCTCTGGATGACACCACCCCTAACTTCCCAGGGCTGTCATGAGAGGAGGAAGCATTAATTCAGTGCCTACATTTCTTCTGCCATAGTGACTTCCGTAGTGAACACGTTCTGCACTCCAGCCCTGTACCAGGCTCTTTCTGTGCCTCCAATACTATTCCGATTTTACTACAGGTCATGTGATAGACGGGGAAACTGAGGCCCGGATGTTAGCCTGATAGTAACATTTATGGAATGTTTACCAGGTGCTGTTGCCGGCCCTGCCTTACATCTGCCTCCTGTAATCCTCGCGTCAGCCCAGTTTCCCTTCCATTTTACAGTTGAGGAGACTGAGGCTGGAGAAGTTAAATCAGGTGTCTGATTTCTGACTGTAGCTGGGCTGATGGCCTTTCCCATCACACAGGACAGAGCTTGTCAGATGCCCTTGACTCGATTTGCCAAACATGCCCTCTGTGCAAGTTCAGTGCTGGGAGATGCTGGGACCCCGAGGAGCCCCGAGCCTGAGGAAGACAGACCCGCACAGGCACGGAGAGGGCTTTCCGGAGGAGGGGATGCTGGATTTTGCCACGCTGGACTCCAAGTAGTGCAGCCAGGGTGGGCGTGGTGGGATGAGCCGGCCCAGGACGCTGGGTAGGGCGTGAGTGTCTCACTCAGAAAGGGTGAGCGCTGGGGAGAGAGGGAAAGGGAGGACTAATCGCATCTCATTTCGAGGAAGAGGAGCCAGGATCCCTCGGCCCGGCGCCCGGGGCCCTAGCAACG